CCGACATGACTCATTGGTGGGATTCGACATCAAAGATGCTTATCATCATCTTCGCGTGTGTCGGTCGGAGGAATGTTTCCTCCAATTTCGAATGGGAGATGAAGTTTTCGCTTGTCAAGCTCTCCCTTTTGGACTTTCGTTGGCTCCTTTCTTTTTTACCCATTTGATGCTTGTTGTGGGTCGTTTCTTGAGGTCCCCGGGCAGTTGCCCCAAGGCTGCCCGCCATTTCCGTTTTGGGTGCCTAGCGGGGGATGACTCAATAGCTACATACTTTCAAGTGTATACTAGTGAACCGCCAGCCATTTTGTTGGCTTATCTTGATGAATTTTTGGCGGCCATGCATGATGCCGCACGTTTGACTCGATGGTCGAAGTTGGTTCGAGGTGTGTTTGCCTCGCTGGGCCTCCAATTCAACGAGCGGAAATGTCAATGGACCCCAGTCATGCGTAAGAAACATTTGGGGGTGATTGTGGACACGGCCCATGGCCGTTTTGAGGTTCCTCCGGACAAGGCCGTGTTGATCGCCAATCAGGCCCGCATTTTGTGATCCAGCCGCTGGGTTGTGGCAAGGGACTTGGCACGTTTTTGCGGCCTCGCCATTTCCCTTTATTTGGCGTTTCCTTTGGCACGCTTTTTCTTGCAAAGCCTCTACGGGGTTCTTCGCTCCAAGCGCAGTTGGCGGGATCGCCTGATCCTCTCCCCCCAAGCCCGGCTGGACTTGGAGGCGTGGGTCAACATCCGCCGCTGCGAAGGCCGTCCACTCAACCCCGATGCAATCCCCTTTGCCGGTACTCTGGCAACGGACGCTAGTCTGACCGGTTGGGGGGCCACCTTCGCTCCCCCGGAGAGGTCCCGCCCCCTCCTCGCGAGGGGGTTTTGGGACCGTTCCTTAACGCACATCAATGTGCGTGAGATGCAGGCGGTGGAATGAGCCATTCTCAGCTTTTTTCCGGCTGCTTCCCCTGGCCTTCCTTCGAGGCTCAAGCTGCTGGTCGACAACCAGGTGGTCATGTATTGCCTGCGCAGCATGACTACCCATTCGAAGCAACTCCTCACCCCCCTTCGTCAGCTGCACCGAGTCTGTACGGCGCGCCACCTCCTGCTCGACCCGAACTATATTCGGTCGGAGGACAACGTCATACCGGACAGGCTGTCCCGGGTTCGGGCGGCGGAACGACTACCAACTGCACCCGGCCATTTTCCGGCACCTGACTCAGCGCTTCGGTCGCCGGACGTGCGACCGCTTTGCTTCCGCGGCGAATTCCCTCTGCCCAAGGTACAACAGCCTGCACGCGGACGTGGGGAGCGCGGGGACGGACGCCTTTCTCCAAGACTGGACGGGGGACACCAATTGGTGCAACCCCCCTTGGTGCCTCCTTCCCCGGCTCGTCTCCTTCCTCACCGCTCGGCCCGCCGTGGAGGCCGTCGTTGTCGCGCCGGATTGGCCGAGCGTGCTTTGGTTTCAGCCGCTCCGGACTCTTGCGGCGGAGGACCTTCTGATTCCCCACCATCCGTCCGCCCTCGGAAGCCTCCTTAGGGGCGGGCGCTCGGTCACCCTCCCGGGAGGTCGCGCTTCCCCCCGATGATCCGCTCCCGGTGGAGGCCATGCCGACCGATCACCCCCTCTACGGGCTGGACGTCAACGGCATGCTGCAATCGGACTGCGCCTGGATGCAGTCTCAGTTTTTGTCTTTCTACACGGAGTCGACGCGGAGATCCATGCAGGCCAAGTTCGCCAAGTTCCAGGCGTTCTGCGCCTCCGTGGAGCTCCAGGCCCTCCCCGCCCGCCCGGCCACGATCTACCGTTACATCCGGTTTCTGCGGGAGGAGGGCCGGGTGGGCGTCCGCAACCTCCGGCAGTACCTGGCCGCCATTTCCATGGTGCACCAGGTCGCCGGCCATCTGCAATTTTCCGCCTTCGACCGGGTGACCCGTTTGCTCACCCGGTCATGGCGTCGTCAATGCCCGGAACCTGCGGCCTCTCATGCTCCGGTGCCGGCCATCTTGATGCTCCGCATTCTGGAGCGGGGCCTACACACCGACGACCTCCTCCTACTGCGGGCGTCGGTTTCCGCCCTGCTGGACTTCGTTTTCTTTAATCGGGCCCAGAGCGGCCATTTCATTCTATTGGACGACGTGCGGGTGACGGATGGAGTTGTGATCTTCCGGGAGCGCAAGACCAAGCTCAAGCCCGATTCGGACCCGGCTGTCCGCCTCCGTTCCTGGCCTTCGCAGGGCGCCCCCGAGCTGGTGAATTTACTACGGGTGGGACTCTCACGCCGGGCGAATGCGACCCGTCCGCCCGCACGGTTTCCTCCTGGTTTCGGGACCTCCTGGCCTCCTCTCCCGACCTGCACCCGGGCGCTTTCGATCACCATGGTCTACGCGCGGGTGGGGCGTCGGCTTGCTTCGCCTTGGAGGTGCCCGAACAGCGCATCCGCCACTGGGGCGACTGGCGGGGCGCTGCCCTCTGGCGGTACATCGATGTGTATCGCATCCCATCAGAGTGGGACTATCGCCTTTTTGGGTGGATGACGATTACCGCCCGGGACTTGCATGACAGGTATGGCCACATCTTCTGCTCCGGAGGAGCGCAGTGTGTTTGAGGGTGACTGGGCACACTAAGTTGTGGGTACCTCGGGTTGTACTGGGACAAACAATGTCGTGTAATGTATTGGTCCAGTGTGTGTGTGGACCTGGGTGGGACAAGGAGCCCGGCCCGGCAGAAATGGGATTAACTATCTTGTTAAGTGGTTTCCGCCCAGGGCGACGAGGGGCGGGCGCGCTGACCCTCTTGGGACAGCGCTGCTTAAAGTACAATGGTTTTGGCGGCCCCTTGGGGTTTCTGTCCCCCTGTACCTTGGGTCAGTGGCTGGTCCGTCGCGTTCAAGGAGGGCCAGTGGTTTTTGGCGCCCTTGGGAGCGGCGGGCTTTGGCGGGCGCGAGCGGGGAGGCTACTTAGGCTCACCCCTCGGTCCCCACTTTATCTTGTTTCGCTTCCCGCCCGGCCCCCCCTATTAGGGTGATGTTCGGTTGATTTGGGCAAGTGTGGGAGTTAAGGACGTGGAAATGAGGAGTGGTGGGTCTGACTCAAGGGTTGAGTCTTGTATGGGACTGGCCTAACTACTAGCGAAGCGATTGGGCACACTAAGTTGTGGGTACCTCGGGTTGTATTGGGACAAACAATGTCGTGTAATGTATTGGTCCAGTGTGTGTGTGGACCTGGGTGGGACAAGGAGCCCGGCCCGGCGGAAACCTAATCTAAAGCCCAAAAAGCCCAATCCTGATCCGTTTCCGTCTCTGTCACTGTCACCGCACGCGAGATTGCATTGTGAACGTTGTGCGGGGGTTCAAGTGGCCAACCCGCTTGTGGTCAAGGCCGGCGATGGGCAGCTGCTGTGAATCGCCGCTTGGTGATCGCGCTTTGAACTGCAGGGGATGATTTGTGCAAACCAACGTTTGGTTGAGATTTTCGAAGAAGAGAAATCTTCTGCTTTTCAAATTCAGGGCCCAGATGAGCAGACGTCCGGTGGAAGTGAGATAGGAAGCGTGGAAGGAAAAGAAGCCAGGTTAGCCGGAGAAGCAGTCCCTGTGTGTTGGGCGTAATTCAGGGTGACTATACATCAACACAGAATGACCAATACCTGGAGTGTGCTCAGAAACGTGTTGGCGGATTGGGCTCAGGATTTTGGTTTCTATGGCGATAGATGGGGATGGACGGTAGAAATGCAGATCAGCTGGCGGTTGACTTTGGATGTGACATCGCGTTCAGCTGAACAAACTAGTCATGATCGGTCCCTGACTCAGAAAAGGCTGCACGGCCAGTTCCCAAGTGTGTTTCGTATTACCGCCGTCTTGTCTGCAGCCACACCTGTTCGAGTCGCGCATCCATGCTGCATGTTGCAAAGATCGTTTGGGTGCTCCTTGTTGCCGCAAGTGTGAGTACTGTTGGTTTTTAAGCCCTTCCGCGTCGGAAATTTACCTTTGAGCTTTTGGCTCCGATTTGTTTTCCAGAGTGTTATTTTAGTAACTTTACGTTGCTCCGCACAAAATATATTAAAAAAGCGTTATTTACTTTATTGGTTTCTCCGCAAAAAGGCCAAGCGTTACATAACTGTGCGGAAGGGTTTCAAAACCAACGGGTATTCTGATCTATGCTGTGTTCATTTTCCGTGCGTGATGCGATTCACTAAGTGAACTGCCACCCGCACACCCCGCCTGTCAGCACGCGGTTGAGGTGGCCGGCATTGACGATCGCATTGCGCGGTCGTGCTGCAGCGAGCGCATTGAGCATGTTGCCATCTGCTCCATTTTTCATGAGCCCACTTGCTGTCCATGCCAACAGTTTCTGACTGGTCCACGGTGTTGAGTCCCCCAATCAAACGCAAAATGCCTGATCCAGACATGGGACACACATTGTGTGCAGAGACAACATGAATATCTGTGAGTTTCACAGTAGATGTGTCCACACGTTGGCTTCGACGCCCCTGCTGTGGACACGCAGCGCAATGCCAACGCCCACCATCCCGTCACCACAGTCAACTTCCATCGGATCAATGTACAATCAGGTAACAGGAATAAAAGGTCCTGCACACCGCCCCAAGCTCTAGTTTGGCGTGCAACACAAACAGCGAAGAACGTTTTCCTGAAGTCCCTGGATCGCCGTGCATCCATGCAAAAGGCCAAACATTTCTCTTGCGAACATGCATGGTCAACATGAGGAGGTGATTCGAATGGACAGCAGCTCCGCAACCTGCAACCTGCAGTTTGGACAACCTAGGATAAACAGGCAATCCGAAAAATGGTAGACCCTCCACAGGCAGTGAATACCAGCGGTCGCTCTCTATCCTTCATTCCACAGCGCGCCCGCAGACGATCGCCAACAGTCGCTGAAAGCTGCGGCGTTTCATGTAGAAGGATGGACACACGTTGGGGTACTTCTGGCTGTCTCGGCATCGCGCTCAGGGACAGCATTTGCACGCAGATTTGTGTTGTTCTTCTCTATAGTGGGGTCACACTTTCACGCAGCCACTCCTTTGCATCAGGCGAGAGAGACGGGCGAGAAGACACCTTGTCCCAGACCTGCAGAGCGAAACACCTTCCTTGTAAATTTTGAATGAAGAAAACCAATGACGGCAGCATCTTTCCGCTGGGTTTCCAAACTTGGCGTGGCTGCCACCGAGCAGAGCAGCAAGGCTGTGACTTTGCAGTTGCATTTATTGATACAGCAAGTACATAAACAACAACAAAAAGTGAACAAACAAAGAAGTTTGTGGCTGCAGACCAAACAATGAGCAGTGGACAGGTAAATTCAAGACATGTGTACATAAGGAGGATGGAAGGAAACGCTGCACACATGGGCAAGCGATCAGCGCTTGTCTTGCCAAAGAAAATCAATGTCAACAATTTGTGCAACGACAGCCCAAGGTTCTGATGAGAGTGCCACATTGGAACTGCCAATTGCAACCTGCTGAAACGGTCATGATGAGGAACCCAGCAATTTTGGAGCAAATCGGTGTGCGCAATGTGGGCATATCATTGCTATCTTTGTTAGATTCCGACCCGACACCATTCTTGCATCGGCAACGGAAACTAATAGACGCTTGTCAGTCAGTGTGGCCAATGGACACAGACTTCAGGTGTTTTGACGAGCTAGACAAACAGGCTCAGGTGATTGTGCACATGCACCAAGCTTGTGGTCCGCTGCCACAGACGCCTGGCTCCATACAAGCACTTTGTTTGAAGAACCACAACTGGTGGAAGTACAGCTACGTTCGCTTCATTCGCTCGCGGAAAACACATCGGCACATTGGGGCTGACAGAGCAAATGGGACAAAACAATTCGAACATGAGTGGAGGGGTTGGCAGACCCACCTGAGCATGATAGTTGTTCACCCAGTCCACCTGCTGCTTGGAAAGCAACTCCTTTGCGATCATCTTCTTCTGAATGGGCACATATGTGATGGGTTCGAATTCCAAGAATCGGGTGCCCCTAAAGTTGTGCTCCGTTTTCGCTTCCTTGATGACCGCCAGGTTCTCAATGCGTATGCCAAAGTTGCCGTCTTCGTAGTAGCCTGGCTCATTGCTCACGATCATGTTGGCCTTCAGGGGGTTGCGTGTGGACTTCAAATGGTGGCGGAACGATATTTGCATGGGACCTGACGTGCCATGACAGCCAGGAAATGTGCTTAATATTCGTTGCCACAGCTCTCAAGGCAATGGTACAATTCATCACACTGTAGTTCGCTGCTGGGGCGATTCACAATCGGGACATCCCTGCGGCTGCGCAATAGGCATAAGCCCACCATTGTGCAGCAAGTACTATCAACAGTGCTAATGCAGTGTTGTCTGTCACAATCAGAAAGCCACCAATTGTGGGCACAAAAGATGCAGGTGTCAAAGTAGTTGGCATCTCCCTGCAGCGGTGACTTGCTACAGGACAAGAAAGACCAAGGAATGTTGAGGATAAGGGGAACAGAATTCTGCATCTAAAACACCTGCATCATCTTGCACAGTATGGAAATAGACTTCCCCAACAAACTTCTTGCTACTGAGGCTGCACAGGATGCTTCATTTCAGCGTGAGAGAAGTGCAACAATTGCCTATCGCTGCAGTGCATACCTTCATGCACGCACAAGTGTGCCCCAACACCATGTCCAGTGCCGTGCAGGTAGTCCAGACCCATCTGCCACAGATACATCCTTGCAAAGCCGTCGATGGCGATCCCCGGGGTGTTTTCAGGAAAGCGTGCTGCGTCCATCTGGATGTGTCCCTGCAGTACTCGGGTGAAGCACTCCTTCTGATAGGAGGTGGGCTCTCCAAGATGGAATGTGCGAGTAACGTCTGTTGTCCCACGGTCGTACTGGGCTGCACAAAAGCATAGCGATTTTCACCTGATCGATGAAATCAAATGGACAGAAGAATAGTAGCAGCCACATCCCCATTCAGCAATAATGGAAGTGGACACTGATTCATAGCTGTAATGAGGGAACTGACAACATACTGCCAATTCAGCATACCTGTGATGTTGCCATTTCGACCGCTGGGTTTATTCCCCCAAGCAAGAGCATTGTCTACTCCAATTGCATCCTTGCCTTAAACCATCATTCTGAAAGCACAAATTGCCATTCTGAATGCCATCCAGCAAAATTGCCATTCGATTTTCTGACTAGAATATCCTCAGCCAGAACATTTCCTGCATCTTTATCCTCCAGAACTCGGTACGTCTACTTGCGCACCTCCATATACATGCACATGGCCCAGACATGGGCTGCTCAGTGCTGTACCAAGCTGCAAAATGAGGTTTCTATTTTTCAGAGAGTTGCAAATGAAGAATTGCATCAAAGGAACTTTGAGTTGTCAATTGATCCAGCAATCGATGGACTGCCAATCAATGTCAAAACTTCAGCCAATGCAACCCATTTGAGTAACAAGAGCGACAACAAGTCCTTGGTTTGCAATGGGGGTGGCAGTTTACCTACTGAATCTCAATGTAACCCAGAAAATTGTATTGAAGCCACAACTCACCACCAGAGTCAATGAGCAGGAGTGTATCCTTGTCTACAGTCCTGCAAGACTGCTCCTCAGCCTGGTAATGGATCACAGCACCATTGGGGCCCGCCCCCGCAATGGTCGGGAAGCTAAGGCCCACAAATCCATCCTGTACTTTTCGTCGGTCTGTCAGCTCCTTGTCAACCTCCACCTCAGTGAAAGACGCACCTGAACCAACCTCCAAGCCGCAAACGCATCGAAGTTCAAACACAGGAACACCTATTTGCGAGCTTCGAAAATCACCATGGGTTCTAATGCGTTCCACATGGATTACTTTACGACCTCAACATGAGGCTTGTGATACTAGGATAAAAGTTTTCACTTGAACTACGTACTATCTAACAATGTTTGACCATTAACTGGAATGCAATAGATATGCCAGGCGCCACGCCCTGTGCCAATTGTTGAGATGCAGGTGTTGCTATCTATCAAGTTGGAACAAGTCAAGGTTGCAAGATGATACAAGTTATGGGGAGTTATGTTAACAGAATGTGGTGAATGGACACAACGCAGCGAACCCAGACGTAAACACCACACAGCCATGCATGCCCTGGAGTCGACATGGCTGAAAACCAACACAATGGCGGGCATTCTTATCACATCCCTGTTGCGGGAATGTGACACTCGCTCTCTGAACATCAAAATCTCTTGTGGATTGCATTGGACATTCCATGGAGCGCTGGGGACAAGAAATTGAACCGCCACACTTGTTTTTCAGATAATTGCTTTTCTTTCAGCACTGATGAGGCATATAGGCAACGTGTGACTTGATTTTATGCTTCTCCAAAAGGCGTTTAAAGAATGAGGACAGGACTGAGCCCGCTGTGTGGACATGCACAACTGGTGGATGCTGCCCATATCGCCTTCAAATGTGAGGGCATGGATTCATCATGTGGTGGAGGCAAACTGCTATCCGTCGACTTTATGTGGAAATAGTGACGTTGAGTTCAGTCCAGCCTTCTTAGATGAAATAGTGCTCTAGCAAGCCAGAAATTTCTCAACCATTGACTGTGACAATCCGGCAATTCTAAACAAACAACAGGAACAGCAATAACGGCGTGCCAGGCCAGTTCCACTCTAAAGCACGCGGCAATGGCCTGCCAAGCATTCCCAGAGCAAAGGACGGTAGCAATCGAGTCCAAGGCAAGACTGGATTTTCATCATCAGATCATGTTGCTGGCAATTCACTTTGACAGTCGAACATCATGCCCAAGAGGCAGAAACTGCTCAACTACAGCTCTTGCGATTCCCTGATGGGCTTCACTTTCTTGTCACGCTTCGGAGCCTCAACATAGGATGGATGTCTCACCTGTTTTTCAAACCACGACAGAAATTCTATGATGGCAACAGCATCCCGCAGGTGGGCCTCCTTCATCCCAGCGATCTCCACCTCATTCTTGACAGCCATGAACAGTTTGATGGGCGTTTCATCATCTATTATCTTGTCGGCCTGCTGCACAACGCCCAATATCGGCAGTGTTGTATTTGAAAGCACACCTACGAAAATTGAACCCTGCTTCATTGATGTCATGACTGGTGCCAATTTGCACCGGCGTTTGACTCCAAGGGGGTTGGACAGAAGTCACAATGCCACACATCAGAAGCAAAGTGCAAGCCCATGGGCTGCCAGTCTGTTGCAAGACACCCACTACCAAGACACCACAACAGCCTTCTCAAACAACCAGGATCCGCCATCTAGATTCGCTGCCTGTCGACATAGGCCTCAGACCTCTGTAAACAACAAGCACTTAAGGAGTCCTTTGGTGTCAAGGTGCTCCACTGCGCGATTGGAGATTCAAGCTTGGGATACTCCTTCCTGCTGCCGCCCTTTTCCTCAAGTGTGAAATTCTGCAAAGACTGCACTTGCAATTTCGGAAGACAACTGCTTTCGCATCTTCATGGCGATGTTGCGCAAGATTGATTGTACCAAAAAATAAGAATGTCAACAGAGACAAAAGCCATGCAGATGTTGTCATTTGGCACAACCTGCCAAGGATACACCAAAGCAATCAAGCCAGTTCCCGTCCCCCAACTTTCTAACAACAGAAACAACTCTTGGGATGCCCTCAGACGGGCATGCTCCTTCCCCTTTACTAACCGTTTCCTCACGGCAGGCTTGCCTTGCAGCATTGAAGATGGCGCAGTTCACCTGGACAGTGTCCACACAAAAAAGAAAACACATTTGTGATGCAAGCCCTGGGCAAAAAATTGAGTGAGGTTTCACAGTACATCTCAACAGAATCCATAATTAAAGTTCTGATAATCGCAAGAGTCGTTAGCAAATAACAGACATGGATGCTCAGCAGTTGTTGAACTTTGTGCAAGTGTGGGAAGGTCAATTGTACAAACCACAGAGCCAATGTCCACCTAACAATTGACACTGTACTTCAAGGCTGTAACCAAACATACAAATGGAAATGCAGGCTCCAAACTCATCAACCAACAAGTATCATCACAACAGTCATCCAATCGCAACAAGTTTAAGCAATGGTAGCAGCATCCACACCACAATATATTTTCAGTCTGTCCAAATGAAAAGCACAACAGTTTAAAGGTATCAATCTCAAAGACCACAACAAAGCTGTGGCCACCAATCCCACCTGGTCAGCACTCATCCATATTTTAGTTGCTGCTGAAGTGTGCTCCCGAATACCATCCAAGATGGCCTCCAAGGCCAACACCTCACAGCCACAGCCATCCAGGTGGCCCCTCACGTCCTCTGTCACCTTGTCAGTGTCCACATACAGCACGGCCTTGTCCAGTGTCACAATCAAATAAGAGATGAAAATGGGGCTGTACAATTCGTCCTGTCCCCTCAGGTTCAATATCCAGGCGACCTCTGAGACATCAGCGGTCACAAGGGCGGTGGCGCCCTTCTGGGTCATGGCCTCCCGAATCCTGGACAGCTTGGATTCTGTTGACTCTCCTGCGAGCTCCACTGGGTGGACACGCAGGGGCCCTTTGGGGGGTGAGGGTCTCTGTGCACCCCACACGGCGTCCACGGGGCTCGCATCAAGGAGCACAAGCTCACGGCCAGCATTCTGACAGACAAAACACCACCCGGAACTCAATGGCAATCGTCAGTCAGAATTAGTCAACATTGTGCCGCAAATTGCCAGGTGGAGCTTGTGATGAAATCGGGAACAAAGAAGCACTTGGATGGGCCTTGTGTGTGTGTTACAGGCAGGGATATTCGAAGGATCAGTTGTCATCTTGCAGGTGCCAGGGCAGCGCTTTCACCTGAGAAGGCATATATCAGCCAAAGGTCATTCTGCCAAAAATCACTGCCAAGTTGCCGACCAACAGTGACATTGCCATCAAACAGACACCACATCAAATGAATATCACAAATAGGACAAGGGCAACTTAGAAAATCACTTTGTGGCCACCAGTGGACTGTGCTGTCAATTGTCAACTGCAATTACCAAGAAATGAAAGCAACTCTGTCCTTGTAACTTCCAAGTCAGTGACAGGCACAATACCTCACACATTTACTGCATCCAGGCGACTATGTGCCAGCTCAGGAGTGCAGAAATTAATGCAAAGTGTGCATTTCCACCATCTGGCAGAACTAGCCTCATCGCTTTAAATAGTTTGTGTTCATATGTAGCTGCCCTGTGGAATTCAATACCGTGCAGCCGATGAGGGCATCGGGTGAAAGTTTTGGCCCCACGATGATGGTGCCAAACAGAGACAGCATGATGTGACTCATGCGATGGTGTATGCACATTTAGGAGCACCTCTGTCCTGCATGTCTCGGCTGCCACATCCTTGACCCTGAGGAGTGAGCACAGCCACATGACAGACACAGCAAAGTGCACCATTGCAATGCTAAAATGATAAGCCTGGTTTCCCTTCCTTTGGACTCACCTCCAGGCCTCTCTGCCAGCTCCGGATTTCTGTGTCATTATGACAGAATGGGTCCACTCCCACACGGCCACCTTCTGGCACCACTTTGCACAGCCATTCCAGGATCTGCAGCAATGCAGCGGGCACAGGTGTAACATTGCCAGGGAGGGGGCGGGTTCCTTGCATTTAGTGACATCAAAGTTTTGCAGGAATGCAAACATCACACCTGCAATTCCAGATCTGCTCTGCTAGAAAGGCATCTGTATCTGCCTGAGCTAGCCTGCTAGGTGCAAAGGCAGTGACTCGCTAGAATCTCACCAAATCCATCAACGTAGAAATCTGCAACATTTCGTTGGTGTGACAAAACTTTACCATATGCTGCAGATGACTTGTCATCTCTTTTTGCATCACTTTCGTTCCCATTGAATCGCTTCTGATTTCGTCTTGTCACTGACAGTTCTTTAGGAAGTCCAACTGGCAAGGCTATGGGAACACCTTCTGTTTGATTACAGAATAATTTTCTGTCATATTGGACCACTGACATCGCCGGACAGATGCATGTTGCCAGCATTTCTCATGTCTTTTGACAGATGCAAAGGACAGAGAATTATGCAAGAGTGTCGAACATGCCCTGGATGGCAGCACTGCCAATGAACAGGTGCAAGATGGCTTTTGAGAAGGAGCGCAATGCACCAGAACAGCCCCAGATACATCACTGGTGACCAAATGCATCAAAACATGACAGAAACACAGCCCTTTGACGTATCAGGTAATCAGGAAATCACAGTATCATGGGGACCCACATCTGGGCAATCCTTCATGCCCATTCTCATGAGTGTCCACTCAGGACCCAGCTCCCTCTCTGCCTGCAGGAAGTACCGCCCATCTGTCCACAGGGCTGCCTCAGAGGTTGTTATTACAGCAGTGCCTGCAACACCAGGCAGTGAGAGTTTTAGTCCGTTCGATTGCATTTGCCAGGATGCAACACATCACTGCCAGATAGCCAAACACCGATATCTGGATCCCAGCAAAGCAGTAAGGCGCTTCATCCAGTCCCCATGCACAGATTGACGCAAAGTGCAGAAGTTAGCCATGCCCTCTGCACAACTGCCCAGACAAATTCTGTAAAACATTCAGCCCAACGCAGGTAGTTGTGCCATTTAGTGCTCCGTATATGTTCGTTGCAATTCAACAACGATGGCAGGATGTGGCCACAATCGGCTGAAGAGTGACAGGTCAGTGCTTTGTAACATTTACAAAGATTCCTGCTGACAAAGCCAATCTTCAGACACTTACCGGCAGAGCCTGTGAAGCCTGAGATGAAGGCCCTGCGCTTCCAGTAATCTGGCACATACTCCATCAAGTTTGGATCTGTTGTGGGCACCACGATGGCATCAACGCCAGAGACGCTTGCCATCTGCTGCCGCAAGTCGGCCAGTTTCTTGTCTGTGGCTTTGGCGGCCACAGCTGTGCCATCTGTTGCAGTCGCCATCTGGCACACAGCTGATCGGGCACAGCTGTGCCACGGCCTCAGCGTCCCGAGCCTGGGCCTGCGACTGGAGAGATTTGGGACCTGCTGGTGTCGCACTGAGGAAAGATTGTTGGTGACCTTGCCCACAACAAGACGAGAAACAGATGTCATGTCTCATGTCGTTGCTGAATAATGACATTGAGGCAGGTTAAGGTTACAGTGGAGTGGAGTGGAGCAATGGCGCAATAAGGTGCCTAGTGTTTGCGCTACCGAAGCATTGAACAAAACCTCTCGTTTGAGAAAGAGAAGTTGCCATGAGGTCATCAATCATGCCATTGTTGGCAATGACTCAGGCAGGCATTGGTGAAACCGGGAAGCTACTGGCACCACACTGTGAAGGCGTCACACACACCCTGCTGATGGATGACAGACGAGACGTTACAAGTTATAAAATCAGCAACAAATAACACTGAGACAGGCGCAGTTGTGGCTAAACAAGTGCCTGTCCGTTTTTGGTGGATTCAGCAGGAGGTTCGCTGTGGACACAAGGCGTGGCGCTATGGGGTTTACTGAGGCTACAAATGCACAGAAACAATTGTCGACTAGGGAAATGTTCCTTTCCTTGTGGATTCAGCTGAAGGCATACTGTGCATATGGCAGAAAAGTCACAGAGGGCGAAGGAGAAAATTGGGTATTGGTGGCCGATCTGGGCCTTGGGATATCCAGCAGGAGCCGGCACATGCGCGGAGCATCATCAGTAATCAGACAAACCCAAAGAAGCAGCATGGCCTTTGCGACAATCGAAGACAAGGGGCCAGGAAATTCGGCAACAGGTGCAGCCTCAACGCCACAGCATGCCGAGACGACAAAAGCACGACTCGAACTCGACGAAGGGCTGGCTCTGCACATTGACGTTCTTTCGCGACTTCCGCTTTGGCGGCAGCCCAAGATTCTGGACCACCATGTGTCACCGCGATTTGACAGGGCACATCCCCATGGCCCCCAATCCTCGCCGTGATGCTCGTCCGATGCTGCATCCGCGCCCCCGCCCTCCAACCTCACCTGCCGCGATCGGGAGTGGACGCGTCCAGCCAGGCAGGCCGCCGCGTAGCGCTTCCAAACCGGCGCCGCGAAGAGTCTGGAGGCAGACTTGGAGCCCTGGACACCAAGAACCATGGCATGCAGAGCCGCACGTTGGGTGTTGCTGGCGCACCCAATTTGTGGGCCCATTGCCGGTAATGACGGACATTAAACGCCGTGCTGTGTTCCACCATTAATCAAATGTTGGTGCGTTAAACATTAAACATGGTACATTGTCCCTTATTCAACCAGTGCAGTTTGTGCGGCATGGCTACTTTGTTTGAATTTGCGTTCGAGAGCCGAGGTGGGGCCCTTGCACCTTGCTGGCGGTGCGGTGGGGGATACATCTGGAACGTATTTCTGTCCCTCGTCCGTCCATTTATGTGCTCGCCACTCGTCTGCAACACACATAGATGGTGCTCCAAGGAAAGGAAGAAAAATGAAACCCAGGCTACGTGCGTCCTTGACTAGAAAACTTGGTTCCATCTAGCGAAACTTGATGCCTGTCCTGCACAGCTGCAGCTACCCACACTTCCACACAAGTACATCCATCGCTGTGCCGCGATCTTCACAGACAGGCGGTAAAATGAGCAGAACTTCCACCAGCCATGCATCCCTGACATCTTCGAGGAGCGGCTGAGTCATTGCCCAACCGGCATCCGCGAACAGAGCCAAGTTGCGCCAGCATGGACGTGTCTTCCGTTGAAAGCCGAATCCATGCCACAGCAAAACCCAATAGCAACTGTTCACCGGCGATTCAACAGTCTGTCATGACGAGCTCTTGGAGGGTGGAAGGTACGCGGATTCATTGTGCATGCGGTGCTTGCGAGTTGCCATCAGTTTCAAACTGGGCCACCAAGACGAACGCCGACCTCGTCAGTCAATAATGTGAATGTTGTGGCGCACTTTGTTCGGTCGATGGGATTGACGTAGTGGGACTGCCACGCGCGATTTGCTGTGGATTGAATTCGGTGTGAGCGGACACAGTCCGACATCCAGAGGCCCATAATCGGGGCCACGAGCTTCTCATTCAGTTCGGTGCACGATTGGCTGAGCGACGTGTGGACAAGCACATCCATTTCTTCTCACGGTGCGTCGTAGTTTCTGGTCCGCTGGCCAGCTGGCAACCAGCTTGAACGTTCAGAGCATTGCGCGGAGACCGGGGCCCGATCACCGGGCATGCGCTCCACAGTACGAGGAGTACATCATCTCCTCATGCTTGCCAATTTGGAACGCATCCTTGCAGGGGATAGCGTTGGACCCCGGCAGGCCAACGATTTCAAATCTGTCTCGCGGTGGGGTGTTTGGTTCAAAAACCGCCATACCACGCTCGCCCTACACGTCACATCACGTTGCAACAGCACGCGATTCCTACTAACCATGCTTCGCCTGCCGCCGAGCAGCGGACGGGCGGTTTCGCTGTCCCTTTGTTGCGCAATGATTGATTGCCTGCCTGACCTGCCATGCTTCCCGCAACGTGCCCACACGAGAAGATTATGGCATCCCCTTGCGAGCTTTGGTACGACCGCCATACGGCGAGAAGCGGGCTGTACGAGAGCCCTCACGCGATGCTTTGCGGGGCGGCGCGGGACATTATGTACTACAGCGACACTGTTACGCATCCATCTGGAGCATTCCAACGGCGCCCAATAAAGTGCAAGGCGTCTGCTTGCCCCGGCAAGCCGTTCCTCGACGCTCGGCCTTGACCTTGCACGCGCCACCGTCTCTTTCAAGGCACAAAGTCGCGCTCGAACTTCTTCCGAGAAGCCCTCAAGTCGGGATCTTACACTCGCCAAGAGCGGCTTCAACTTTCCTAGTCTGTGCTTTCGGGGGCCGGACAGTCGAATAGCATTAGCAGCATGAGGCAGGGGGAGTCCGCCGCGCGTGAGCCGTTGCTGGATGGAGCTCGATCTCACCAGGTGCGCCAGACACTGGGACATCTGTGGGATGGGCGCACCCGCCTGACTTTGACTTGGGCGGTTGAAGACATGTCTGTGCCTCTCTGTGGGGGAATAACTGACGTGTCACCCAAGGCGTTAGGTCAACGGCGTTGAGCACGGGACGCCCGTAGTTTCAACGCGGAAACGCGCTTGCTGGAGATGCGAAGATTGCGCTCGCGGGGGAGACTAGCAGCGCTGTGGGACGGTTCTGCCATTTTGACCTCTGTTTGACCGGTGTCGACTGCATGTTGCTGGTGTGGAAGGCCAGAAATGGCCAGCAGGAGAAGTGGCAAAAGAGAGTCTGTCCAGCGTCTGATCGATTTCTGTTCAAGGCGTTTGCGAGTCCCACTCGCAGCTGGAGTCTTAGTGCTTGCAGCTCAATTGGCGGTGCCATTTTCTGCCGCTCCAAGACTGCAGGCATCAAACAGGCAGGGCATTGACGCACAGCTGAAATTTTTCAATGGCTGCACAGGGTGGCTCGGAGAGCCTTCGGCGCAGCCCACCCCAGTGGAAGAAATGGGTCTCCATGCTTCCCCTCCTGTACATCCTCGAGGTCGCATTCATCGTCGCCCTCACCGTGTGGAGAGCCGAAGACGGCGTCCTGAACGACGCCCAGGCGTGGAGCATCTACGCGCTGGCGATTGTGATGTCCGCGTACTTCTTGCTGGCGAGTCTGCTGGGCTACTGGGGCGTCTACACGAGGGCGAAGACGCAGGAGGCCTACATCGCTCTGTGGCTGCCGTTCGTGCCGGTGGTCATCGCATTGGTTTGGTTCGCGGCGTCTGCGGACCTTCGCGTGGCGCTGGCGAGGGTTGTCGACGGCACCGCGGACGGAACTCTGAGGATGGGGGACCAGAAGTGGTTCATCGCCCTGCAGGTGGGTTGGGACTTGAGGGGGGCAGCCGCCCCCTGGCGTACGCCCTGGCTTCCTCTTGGCGGCCGCGGGAAGCGGAAGGCCTTCATTTGGCATGAAATTAGTTTTCTGTGGTGGTCGGTTCTTGTACACGAACGAATGCCGCATATCATGCAGAGAATATTTCAAGTATCCGTAGTGAAGTACGCAATTGTACAGCTGAATAAGCAACATGCGCTGGGGCTCTGTTCTGTGCGCTGTCAGGCAGAGCAACACACAAACAATAGTTGTCAAAACTATAGCTCGAGCAAAACAGTGTGGATGCAGTCATACTCACGCCACAATTGCACGGCCAGCTTCTTTTTTTTTCCTTAAAATTGTTTTTCCCCATCACTGCACAACTCAATACAACGTATCTTCTCCCGCAGGGACTCCGCGTCCTGGCTCTCGGCTCAATCATCAAAGAGCGCCTTGGCCTCTTCCCCTTCTGGTTCGCCTACCTCACGGCGCTGCCGGACTTCCTGTTCGGCCTGTCTGCCTGGATCCTGCTCGCGGCCTTCGGGCCCTCGGACCCAACCTGCGCCACAGCCCTTGCAGTCTGGCACCTCGTGGGGTTCGTCGTCATCGTGCCTTTCTCCATGATTGTTCTGCAGAGCGGCCTTCCTGGCGTCTTCCGCATCCACAGCCCGAAGCCGGGCAACGAGCTGATCTACGAGTTTCCCATGTCGCTGGGCCCCTCGATAGTTGTGCCCATTTTCGTGATGTACAATTTGTTGTGCGCCTGGAGGCTGCTGGTTGCACAGCAGGCCTGAGCCTGACCGCTGCGGGTCCAGCGTTCGTACAATTTTGTAAAACTGCCTGCAAACGACCAGTTGGTTGGTTGTGTGGTCATGGTGGAAGATCCAGAGCTGTTGCGACGATGTGATATTATGTATTCTATTTCAGCATTGTAATACGTTGTGGAAGTTGGACCCAGAACAGCGGGTGACACTCTGGCCGGCAGGAGCGAAATCAAGTGGAACCGGACCACGTTCAAGTTTCAGAATTTGTTAAAGTTTATGAGTGACTGCAATTATACATGTAACAATGCATACGCATTGCACGCAGATATTCACTGTATTGGTGATTTCGTACTAAGGCATCAGTACTGGAGCGTCGCAATAAGCCTATTGTACAGGCAACATGTTTTGAATGACGAGCCCATGTCATTCTGTACAAACTACGGACTGGTGGGCGTATGTCAGTGTACCCCGCATTTTGCTTGTCACAGACAGTACACCCATTCGTCATTAAAACAGCAGTTACATAGGAAAAAAACAGCCATGACGTAAAGTGACAGTCACAGAGGGATATGGCACTGACGGGGGGCTTATGGATGCCCAATTTGATCCTCCCTCAATACACCACCGACGCTCGATTTTAGCAGCATTACGCTGCTCAGACAAGGCCACAGTATTGCACACAAAAGGCAATGTCGCACTATTGATGGCACAATTGAACAATATTGTGTTCCCCATCCATCCTCAACACCATTACTGAAAATAGGACAGGCCATGCAGGACACGGCGGCGCCAAATGAACATCGCACTGTTCATTGTTAAGCTCGCAGTTTGTCATTGTGCCACGTCAGCACAATGATGGGCTCGTGGCTGTCTCATGGCAGCTGACTGGGACCAACCCACATTTGGCCAGTCAGGAAAAAGTGGGCAGCCACTCAGCCTTGCTAAAAGCGAGAAAATAACGCTGCTGTTAACTGAGTTTTAGTAATGACAATTATGAAATAAGTATATGAAAAGGGAGACGTGCTTTGTCCCAAATAAAGGAGAAAGAATGGCAAAATACGTGGCGATGCTGCCATACTGGTTAGCGAAAGTCATCTCCAATATAGAGATAATGGCAGCCCTGCCTGGTGCACATTACGGCAAAAGGCACCTTTGAAAAGGCAGAAATCCTGGGGAAGCGCGGGCCACATCATCACAAAATTAACGTGATCGGTGATGGCTAGATTACTGAAAATGTAGGCTATGTCACAACTGATGGATGGCAAGAGAACAAGCGACCTGCCTCGCTGTGCATGGTTTGTGCATGCCCACGACGAGCTGGGATGAGCCCAAGGTACGCTGGAATCCACGACGAGCTGGACTGCTAGGCGCGGCCCGCTTCTGATGGCCTTCCCAGGGATGGGGGGTGATGATCGGGGCGCTGGAACCCATGACGGAGGCATGGGGGATCAGGCGAGGGCACATTTTGGCCATCGTGATGCAAATGATGCTGAACGATGGTGATTGTTTGATGAGACAAAAGCCTGTGAATCCATTGAACTGGTTATCATCCAGCGGTTGCAAAAGGATAGTATATTTGATGGGAAAGCCTTGGGGGGCGCACTTGACAGTGGCTTATGAGCGAATAGCCCTGATCCTAGGATCAGCGGAAGCCACTAGACGTGGGCATAAAATTACTCCCTGCATCAAATCGGTGACTGCTTGCACGAAAACGGTGACTTCTTGCACCAAGTCACGTGCACATCATGTCCAACTCCGTCAAAACTAACCTAACCTAAAACCTAAACCCTAAAACCTAAACCTAAACCTGTCCTAACCCTAACCCTAACCCTAAAACTCACCCTGAACTAAACCTAACCCTAAAACTGAGGTTAGGACAAAGTGTGCACGTGACTTGGTGCAAGCAGTCACCGATTTGGTGCAGGCAGTAATATTATTTCCTAGACGTGGGGGAGTGTGACAAGTAGCGGATCACAATAGAGATCGGGGATGCTGATGGGACAGACCGGTCTCCCCTAGGGGATGATTTAGGAAGCGCGCTAATAGTGATATCGCTACCCGGATCGATCCGGATCCTCAGAGAACATTCTGAGGATCCTCAAAGATTATGCTGAGGACCCTCGTACACGGGGGACAGCCCGCGGTGGGTATAAATAGGGGGCATCCAAGGTGTTTGGTGCAGCCACCCACCATGGAAGCTGACCTCCGGGCTGTTGTTTTGGACGAAAATATAACGTATACCTCGTTGACCGCGGACACCCTGGAGAGCGTCCTTGTGTGTGAACATCAAAGCGCCGTCCACGTACCATCGCTTCAAACGATCGACTTTGGGAAAGTGCCAGGGGCCGATTCTGAGAGCGCGGGCAATGCCCCATTAAAACATACAGCATGTGGCCCGCCGATTTGCGACTTGCAAAGCAATCGTGGCGTTGCATTGCGTTCGCATGTTGATTCGGTGAGTTGCGTGAGGAATTGGCGAACAGCGGTAGTGAGAAAAGGAGCTTAGGGCGCTTTCGAAGCGTAGGTATGTGTCGCAGCCGCAAAGGAATGCCCGTTCGGTGACCCAGTGTGCCGATCACGGGCGGTTTGAGCCATCGTCACCACGGACACGACACCAGCGACATTCAGGTGCCAGAAATCGTTACAGGGTCTCCCTTGCAAGCCCTCCAGGATCGCCCATGCTGAAAATCTAAACGCTGATCCCCAGGTTCAGCTAGGTATGGTCGATCGTGGCATGAGTCGGGCTGGATTGCACCTAGCTGCTCCAGAAAATTTGAATCCACTGCTAAACGGCTTGCCATCCCTCAACCGAGGTGCTGCACGATGATCGACGTGAAATCTGGGCTGCAAGAAGGTGGAGACATTTAGCTTCAACGATCTGCCTTGTTTGCTCACGAACACTGAATTGAGATGCCTCGCTTCGGCAGCACCTGTGCGAGGAAGCGGAAGGCCTGGATCCTCACATTGGCGAGGTAGCGGCAGCAGCTCGCCAGCCCTGATGGGGAGCTGCGACGGAGGCTGCTTTAACATAATGACACGTGTTATCTTTGCTGCAGGCCCAGCAGGAAGAGCCCAGCACGTAAGTCTGGGCGGAACATCACCCTCGCTGGTGGAGACCATCAATCCAAACAAGGCGTAAAAGTGGGAATTTATATATAATTTATATATAGTTTATTGTTTTGTATTCCAAGTCAAAACCACGCTGAGGTATGGAAGGAGCAAAAGACTCTTTTGCGTCTTCCACAGCTCAGCGGGGATACCTGTCCTCTGAAGACGGATATATGACTCCGTCCGCAGCACAAGCTGCACATCGCTTGCTAGCTCATCATTGTCCCAAACGGAGGCAATTGGCGACTCCATCAGTGGTTCTTCCAGCCCATGGAACATACAAACAATGAAACCATATGAAATAGCTGTTGCTGAAATGGCAACAATACACGGGGCGAGTGTTCTGGCGCGACTTTAACTAACGGTCCAGAGGTAAAACTGCAGTCATTCTGGCGTTTCAATTTTGTTCACTTGCTGAGAGTGGTGCATGAGCAGGTGCCTGCCTTTTACCGCATAACAACCAGTACTTATGCATACTGACAAAGCACTTGGGGTAAAATTGATAATTAAAAAATCTTTCAGTGATCTGGCCGCAGGTAAAAAGTGGGAAAATACTATTTCCGAAATATTATAGAAAGGCAAGGAAACGCGAATGTGGCGGTAACCCGCGTAGTTTAGCCGCTACAGACGGGCGCAGACAAGGCCTGTCTCGTTGCAGAGCCGTAAATGCCAGACCAGCCATCACAACGGGCTGATGGGCATTGAATGCGGTCCCGAACTTCGGGAGACACTGCAGTCGCCTCCTTCCCCGCAGGTGAAACGGGATGCGTCACACATTGTCCGAGGACAGTTCGGAAACAAAGACACATGCACAACAGCGACGGTGGGCCCAGAAAGAGTGTGTCTACAAGAATGTTCCATGCATATTTATACACGAGAAAGGGGTGTCCCAGTCCTCTGTCCTAGCCACCTTTCGAGAGGCCCCAAAGCTACAATCCCCGTACAGAACCCCTGAGCTTGTCCCCAGACATCTCAAGCTCTCCAACACCTGTCCCCAGCACGGTACAACACGTCATACATTCCATACAGCCGGCTCAATTCCAGTCCCAAGCAATCACGTTCAGTCCCAGGTACGCCCCTCCATAATGATCCAGTAATCAAATCAATCAAATCTGTAAAATATGATGAAGTCAATAATGCCCGCCTATGCAATCCATAGTCCCGGCCTTGGCTCTGCACCAGAACGAACGCACATAATTAAAACAGCTTACTGATGACGAATTCCAAGCTCAGTTCTCCATTTCCAGCTCAGGGCTCCGTTCCGGCTTAGTCACACGTCAGGGGGGTCGTGCAGTGGTGCTTGCAGCAAGGGGCGGCTTTCTCCATGTGGACTCCTGGACATTAAGCAATAGAACAGGACAATTTGTACGCCAATAACTCGCTAATTCCATGCCATGCTCAGCAACTCAAACAAGGTTGCATCAGATCAGATCAATCAACCAAACAGCTAATAATACACGCCCTCAGTGCAGTCCGTCCGTCCCAAATAGTTCACTTCCCTGCGTCGCGAGCGGGGGAGCCAGAGCAGTCGAGGCGTTGCAGCCGCCATCCTCGCTGGGCCGAACGGACGGCAGACAGCAAGCGGCCAATGAACACGCCCCTGAAGTCAGCCATCGTGCGCAGAGTCAACCTGTGGATCGCCCTGCGAGGTGCGGACTGTTCACCGCCTTTTCCCGGAAGGCTGAATTTATTATCTTTGATTGAACTGGTCCCTGGCACAAACTAGACGCCTGCACCTACAAGGCAGGGTCGGGTTGTGGTACACCTCGACGCTCATTGTTCCAACAATCCCTATGTCCCGGAGGCGAACATGCCGAAATGAGTCGACGGTCAAGGCCCCCTCGCCCCCAGTTGTGGACCCCCGTGCCGATGCGGACAAGATGGGCCGTGCCAGAATGACCGCGCTTGTGTGGAGATGCGAT